GCCCAGCCTATGATGGTATTGTAATACATGCCCATGTAGATATCTATGAGGCAAATGGCGTAGCCAACTCCTGTAAAATAGCCATATATAAAGTAGTTACAGAAACATTTTTTATCAAAAATAGTGAAAGACTCATCCAATCTCCCTATCTGAAAATTAACTAAAAGAAAGTGTGCATGTGACATATCATCGAAATTTTCTCCAAAACCATATATATACCAAAATTCTCGGCTTTTTCCACTCTACATACAGGTAAAACACAATAAATGATACGCCTTACCATTCAGCAGATAATTTATGGAATAAACAAATAAGTTATACCTAACCAACTTTTCATTTTCAGATAAATCAATATATCGCTACTTACTTCCATAAAATTAAAGTTCTGTTGCATGCAAAACAAAGTAAGCCCATATATATTATTTTGCCGGACAAAAATATATTTCTACCACTGCATACCATATTCAGTAAAAAGGTGATAAGTGTCTTGAATAGATTGTACGTGTATGATTCATTAAATTTTTTTTTTTATATCGACTAGTAAGAACCTTTAAGTAAACTTATTTCATTCTATCTGTAAACAGGTTGAGTTAAAATTTAGAAATGATTACTAAGCTAAAACAATAAGTTATCTTAAAGGTACGATTCCGAACACGACCGCAAACTGCAAACTGCAAACCGCAGACCGCAGACCGCAGCGACAGACCTACTGGTTCATATGGTTTCTTATGACCTGTATGTCTAGTAGAGCGGCACTGTCGCCACCGCAAGCAGAACGTCGCCACCGCAAACCGCAGGACTGCACCAGAACCAGTAGTGTCGCGGACCGCAGAGTGACAACACGTATTTTTGCTGTTTCTGAATATGTTTTCGTTAGCCATTAGATGATTTTTAATGAGTATTGAATAACTTCCTTCAAATTGTCTATTTTTAAATAGAGACGTAGTCGGTTTCCTTCTTTTTATAATGCAAAAGTAAAAGATCGTTGTCATCTTCTTCTTCCATTAAAAGATATAACATTAATTCATCGTTGTTCATTGCGCCTGACATCCTACTTATACGACTTTTAATATTATACTATTATAAATTCCCATCATATAATGCTGTTGTCGCTGTTTTGTAGATGCAGTACAGTTTTGCTCGGAATTGGTCTGACGGCAGACGACACTGTCGCTGCAGTCTGCGGTTTGCGGTCTGCAGTCTGACGCCACTTTCGGAATTTAACCTTAATGGTGTTTATGATATAATTTATCTGCTAATAAATTAAGCTAATAATATAAGATTATGCTAAAATTAAGCAGACTATTAAGTAAAATTGCTTGTCTTCTATATTTGTGCATAGGAAGAAAGTTTTGAAATACTTTGTAAATAGGTATTAATTAGTTACTTGTGCAAAATCTCGTGTTCTTTAGATTCTTTTGAAACTGAAGACAACAGTTCAATTCTTGATGATTCTCAGAACAATATAGTCTCAATGATGGAGTCCATTTTTGATAGTGACTTTTCAGATATAGACCCCACATATTAGCTAAGTGAAAAGGGATCACTCTCTTTAGGAAGTCTTTATGAATTACAAACAGCTGCTCTTGATAGCCTAAATGATGAGAAAGAAAATACTAAAATAGGTGCACCCACGAAAAATTTAATGTCAACTGAAATATCTAGTTGGATATTAAATCTACTTTTTGACAAATTCTGGAAAGACGTACATCCACTAAAACGTTGGAAAAAAGCTAACTTCAAAGATTGGGAATAAATGTTGCAAAAGCAGGCGTGTTGTGGGTTTGCCTTGTGAGATAAAAAAAGAATAAAAAAAAAAGGTGCTCTGATTGTGATGCTACATATATAGGTAGAACCTGTAGATCACTAACTTCTCGTTCCTTAGAACACACTAAAAAAGAGAACACTTCCACCTTCTCTCAACATCTTGCACAACATAAACATACCCTCAACATCCCAGAAGACGTCTCTTTGTTACATAATATTCCCCAAAAAAAATTTTCTAAAATTAGATCTATATGAAGACTTGGAAATAGTCAAAGAAAAACAAAAAAGCCCCAATTGTGTTAATCGCCATGTGTCTTTCAACCGTGACTTTCAACCTTTACATCGTCAACTTTTTTCATAGTCCACACTTCACAATACTGTCCTATTTTCTCTGGACCTACATAATCTTGTGGTTCTTCAAACACCCATTTTATACAATATCGTCACATCTTCCTCTCACAAATTTCTGACCCCAATTTTAACTTCAGAACCATCCACATCCGTCATACCAACATTTCACTATCTTATCCACTCTTCACTTCTACATCGTTTTCCTGTTAATTCTGTTCTCTTTCATTATTTCTTGGTCAATTCATATATTAAACATGTATCCAATAGTTTTAATTTAGTAATCACTCAAACATTGTCTAACAATTTATTAAAATTCATAATCTACCATATTACAAAGAATCCTAATCTACCTTTGTCCACCTTCTTTCGGTCAACAACTTAGTAGCACACTTATACAACAAATTTCAGGTTTCTAAAAACTGAATTTAATACCACCTAAATAGATTTTGTTCAGGGTGCTAGATACGTTAAGTATAAAGGACCCCTATTATCTCTAATTGTTGATCAACTCCTTTTCTCCCTCAACCCCCCCTCCTTTTCTTCGGTCATTTCTTTTACTTTCATTCTCATTAGTCTCTGAGGAGACCAGTCTCTTCAATTTTAAATTCAATCACATATGTTACTACTTCAATTTCTTCAGCCTGTAGATTTCCATCTTACTAAACTTAATTTTATTAATTTTTCACCATAGGAGCATTCTTAAATAAAGTCATTTAAATATGAGGTCTGATATTAGCTTCAAATATTTGTTATTTAATTTTTACCTTGTCCTAGAAGTGTTAAACATAAAAGGATAAATTTCATAAATACAAGCTAACCCAAAATTAAATACACTTTAGACCACATTCCATACGACGAGAAGCAACATAAGTTGCCTAAGGCACAGGTCATTATATTAATCATGACTATAAAACCATCATTGATTTGACATCTTTTATACCCTAAATTAATAAATAAAAAGTTTTTAAATCCCAACACCTAGATTGTTGTTATTTTTTTTAAAATCATCAAAACTTGTTGAATCTTTTGGCTGTAGTAATACTATGTACAACTTTTATAGTTTTTGTTGCATTGACATTCTGTTATCTTCATCCTTCAAAAGTATCTTGTCAATCAGTTCCACGTTGTTCTCCGAGTGCAGAGGTTCCCTCTCACCCGGCTCTGGAACCCAATTGAGCCATGTGTTACCTTTAGTCAAATTTAATTTAATATTGAACATCACAGTTATTTTATAACACAATGTACAACATTTCTTAACTAAATGTAATTTAAAGGGTTTTTACCCTAATATTTTGGTGGCTCAGGCATTATGACCTAGTAAGTATAACCATCTTTTGCTTTTCAACCATAGTCAAAATTTCAAAATCTCGTTTGTTTTAACTAAATGGTTTATACTTATTTTTAGGCATTTTCGATTTTAATAACCTGATGATGGACTGTGTGGTCCGAAAACGTTTGTTTTATTGATGTGGCCCTTTTAAGGGTTTTTTAAATAAATATACCCATTTACAAAGATTAACCTCTTTTTGTTATACGTGGTATACAGCCAGCTACAGGAATTTTCCTTGTGGATTTTAAAAAAAGAATAGACTAGCAAAATGGCTAAAACCAGTTAATTTTTCCGAATGTTTTTACAAATGTGCCAGTTATTTCAGCGAAAATTACAGACCCAAGAATTACAGTCCATTTTAAATAGCTTGAGAATATTTTTGTGTTTTGTTTGTCCAGGAGACTTATGTAAGTACCTCTTTGTTTCATTTTTGAAGTTGCCCCAATCCATTCCTCTTGTTATTCACGTATCCATGACTCAGTTCCCCGAATAAACCCTGAGTAGCCGTTCGTAAACGTTCCGGTTTATTTTACTTACCCTGTCTTTACCCCAATATTTTTTATCTCCAATTTTCAACCCCCTGCAGTAATATCCTAGGTGGTAGGCAAAATAATCGTTACACTTTTGGTTGAATGGCTATGTCAACAAACAAAACTGCTGTATTTGGAGTGAAGATAATCCTTAAGTGTATGTTAAGACACCATTACATCCAGAAAAACTGACTGTTTGGTTTGCTTTGTAGACTGGTGGAATAATTGGTTTGTACTTCTTCAAAAACGATGCTGGCCAGAACGTTACAGTCAATGGTGACCACTATAGAGCCATGATTACTGACTTCTATATTTCTCATTTGAACAATAATAAACAGGAGCCGCGGTTTCAACAAAATGGCGCACCATTTTACAAAGCTCGTGCCATAATTGATTTATTGAAAGAAAAGTTTGGTAACCGCATAGTTTCACGTCTCGGACCCGTGAATTGGCTTTTAAAGTCGTACAAGTTAACACCGCCAGACTATTTTCTGCAAGGATATTATGAAGTGGCTAGTCTACACCGATAAGCCTGAAACGAGTGACCACTTAGAGAACAACATTCACTGTGTTATTGCCGATATACAGCGACAAATGTTGGAAAAAGTAATTGAAAATTGGAACTTTACATTAGACTACGTCAGAGCCAGCCGTGGCACTCATATGCCAGAAGTTATATTTAAATTATAATGCCAAAAGATTATCTTTTGAATAAAGTCAGGTTCATGTCAATTAAAAAATTATCTTTGTTTTGTTCCATTTCAATGTTCTGTACCTCTAAAAAAACACAATATTTAAATATTATTTTGTGTTTTTAAATGTCTCGAGGTACAATACGCTAAACAAATAAATAACAATGAAACTTTATGTAAAAACACTGCCTATCAACATTTTTATTCACTTACCATGTGTAAATTTTTTTATTATTCAAATATTTTAAAAACTATGAGTGTTGAACTCTTATACAAATGACCATCATAAAACGCGTAAAAATGTTTTTTAGTTACAAAAGACGTACATACCTGTATAGTCATGTTTCTATCATAAACAAAATATGAGTTAATAAAACTGGCAAATGTGGCTGTTAACCGACCATTGCAACAAATTGACCCTCTTCCTACTGCTCTATTCAATTTACGTGGTAGTAAAAGGCGATATTAACCTCTATTCACCACCACGCCGGATGAATATATCGATATAAAGCTGATATACATGAATGAGCACATATTTGGGCTCACCAGGATGATGCTATTTCAGATATAGACTTAAAAGTAGCTTTTGTGATGTTCTATTTTTGAAATTCGACATTTTTGTTTACGTTGTAGGCCTGTGCGACGCCCACAAGTCCGTTTCTGTTAAGCTCGACAAGGAAATATATTGGAATAGTTACTTTTTCGATTGCGTTGTTAGAAGAAGATTTAATTCTTTGAAAAAAGGAAATCGAAAATAGGTTTTTTTATTTTATACAATTTATGTGAGATACCACTCAATAATTTTAATTTTAGTATCTATCATTAGATTTTTGTAAGCTTTAAATTACGTACCGATATAAAGAAAATGTATGAAAATATTATGTTTATATGGGGTCACAATGAATTGCAATAAAAATTACATTTTTAATTAACTAATACAAAAACATTATTTTAAAAATTTTGTGAAAATGTATAAAAAAAGTTGTTATTTGTAGGTTATGTTTTTCAAAATGGATGGTTGACTTACTTGACCTCAATCTTGGAGGTGATACCATGGTTAAAAAATCTGTGGGTGGTTGTATCTGTATCTGTAGAGTATGGAGGGCGAGTTAAGTTTCACAGTACTTAGGCTACAGATTAGAAGCTTTCGAAATGTGGCTTTATCGCCGTATCCTAAAAATACCATGGACAGCGAAAATCACAAGAATAGATGTCCTTAAAAGAATCAACCAAGAACGCCAACTCTTCGAAACCATCAAGAAAAGGAAAACGGCGTATCTAGGTCGCATCATGCGAAATGAAAAATACCAGTTTTGTCCTTAAATAAATACCTTAGCTCATTGTCCATCCTCCCATTTCTAGGAAGGTGGACAAGTCACCAGGAGACATCTCACGTATGTGGGCAGGTGTGGGCCAGGACTCGCCGAACGCATACTCTCGTATTAACGATAACTCTGGGCATTCACATAGGACATGCTCTACAGTTTCGTCTTCTCGTTCATACTTCCTACATAGAGGTGTGTCTACTAGCCCCAGTGTGTGGAGGTGTTTACTTAGTTGACAATGACCAGTTAAAAAACCAACTGCCAAACGTAGATTTTTCCTGGTCATTCCCAAGTACTTCTTTGATGTTGACTCTTCAAGGTTACTTAGTGTTACCCTGGTAAGTTTACATCCTGTCCCTTCTTCCCATCTTTTTACGGTTTGACCAACCAAAAAGATCCCCAGGTCCTAAGAGTCTTAAGCCTGCCGCCTTCCTAGATATTTGGTCAGCAATGCGGTTGCCTTTATTCCTATTGTGTCCTTTAACCCACTTCAGGATGATGGTATTACCATCCGAAGCTTGAGTTAGTGACTCGTGACACTCCATTACTAAACCTGATGTGACACGTGGTCTATTCAAGGTTAGTAGCGCTTGTCTGCTATCTGTACAGATCATTATAGTTTTCCCTGCTATACCTTTTTGGGTTATCTCTTTTGCGGCTATGGAGATACCAGTCAGTTCTGTCTGAACTACACTGGCATTTTTGCCCATACCCCACTTTATTCTTAGGTTCGGTGATCTGGAGTATATATGCAATAGGCATTTGCTACGTTTGTCTCCATGCATTGTCTTGTTTCAATTTTGTAGGGTTTGTTAAAGACGAACTTTGGTTCAATTGAGTCGCAGCCTGCCTGTAGTACTGGTAACGCATCCAGCTCTCCCCGCCAGAAACGAGTTCTCAATTGTCCCATTCCTACATCATGGTTTGCACCAGCTGAACGCAGTCGGATTATTGTCGCTAGAGCCACCTCTTTGACATATATATCTAGAGGCGTGATGCCAATGATCAACTCCATTGCAGCAGTTGGTGTTGTTTTCATGGCACCTGTTATATTTATGCAAGCCATCCGCTGAATATGGTTTAGTTTGTTAATAGCTGTTGCCTGTAGCACTTTTGGTACCCAAGCAATAGCTCCGTAAGTAAGCATTGGCCTAATGATAGCGGTGTAGACCCAGGCGATCACCCTGGGCGTGAGGCCCCAGGTACGTCCAACCGTTCGTCGACACTGTTCATAGGCAATATATGCTCTCTTAGCTCTACCGTCTAGGTGTGAGTTCGATGTTAACTTTCTGTCAAGGGTAATACCAAGGTACTTCACCTCGTCAGAAAAATGTAGACTGTAGTTTAGAATCCTTGGGGGTATTAAGCCCGTGATTCTTCTTTTCCTGGTAAAGATGACCATCTCTGTTTTCTTAGGATTTATAGATAGTGAGTGTTCCTGTGGGTGGTTGTTTTTCCTCCTAACAATCCCAAGTCTTCCTTTATCGATTCCATCCAATTTCTTCGTGATCGTCCTCTTTTCCTTTTTATGCTAGCTTCAGTATTTATTAATCATTTGGAGATTGGCGATTTGTCCGAGCCACCTTGGTCTTTGAACTTTCACAATATTTAAATTTCTTTTGTCCATATATTTGAATTATTTTATTATTTTTTTTTCTTCCCCAGATATGCCCACTTTTAAAACCTCCATATATTCTTCGAAGTATCTTTCGCTCTCATCTATCTAGCTTAAGTTCTATAGTTTTGCTTAAGATCCAGTTCTCGCTAGCATAAAGCCCCGTTGGTTGGATAACGGGATATTTTCTTTGATCTCAGTATTTTATATAAAGTTCTAGCACTTTTACTGCCTTAAGCCATTATTTTTTCGATTTCCTGAGTCTCTTCATTTTTATTTGGTAACGTTACTCCCAAATTATTGAAGGCCGAGCTATTAGACCTCCAGCTGGGTCAATTGCTGATTAAAAAAATCCACAAGGAAAAATTCCTGTAGCTGGCTGTATACCACGTATAACAAAAAGAGGTTAATCTTTGTAAATGGGTATATTTATTTAAAAAACCCTTAAAAGGGCCACATCAATAGAACAAACGTTTTCGGACTACACAGTCCATCATCAGGTTATTAAAATCGAAAATGCCTAAAAATAAGTATAAACCATTTAGTTAAAACAAACGAGATTTTGAAATTTTGACTAAGGTTGAAAAGCAAAAGATGGTTATACTTACTAGGTCATAATGCCTGAGCCACCAAAATATTAGGGTAAAAACCCTTTAAATTACATTTAGTTATGAAATGTTGTACATTGTGTTATAAAATAACTGTGATGTTCTATATTAAATTAAATTTGACCAAAGGTAACACATGGCTCAAATGGGTTCCAGAGCCGGGCGAGAGACAACCTCTGCACTCGGAGAACAACGTGGAACTGATTGACAAGATACTTTTGAAGGATGAAGATAACAGAATGTCAATGCAACAAAAACTATAAAAGTTGTACATAGTATTACTACAGCCAAAAGATTCAACAAGTTTTGATGATTTTAAAAATAACAACAATCTAGGTGTTGGGATTTAAAAACTTTTTATTTATTAATTTAGGGTATAAAAGATGTCAAATCAATGATGGTTTTATAGTCATGATTAATATAATGACCTGTGCCTTAGGCAACTTATGTTGCTTTTCGTCGTATGGAATGTGGTCTAAAGTGTATTTAATTTTTGGGTTAGCTTGTATTTGTGAAATTTATCCTTTTATGTTTAACACATCTAGGACAAGGTAAAAATTAAATGAACAAATATTTGAAGCTAATATCAGACCTCATGTTTAAATGACTTTATTTAGGAATGCTCCTATGGTGAAGAATTAATAAAATTAAGTTTAGTAAGATGGAAATCTACAGGCTGAAGAAATTGAAGTAGTAACATATGTGATTGAATTTAAAATCGAAGAGACTGGGTTCCTCAGAGACTGATGAGAATGAAAGTAAAAGAAATGAAAGGAGGGGGGGGGTTGAAGGAGAAAAGGAGTTGATCAACAATTAGAGATAATAGGGGTCCTTTATACTTAAAGTATCTAGCACCCTGAACAAAATCTATTTAGGTGGTATTAAATTCAGTTTGTAGAAACCTGAAATTTGTTGTATAAGTGTGCTACTAAGTTGTTGACCGAAAGAAGGTGGACAAAGGTAGATTAGGATTCTATGTAATATGGTAGATTATGAATTTTAATAAATTGTTAGATAATGTTTAAGTGATTACTAAGTTAAAACTATTGGATACATGTTTAATATATGAATTGACCAAGAAATAATGAAAGAGAACAAAATTAACAGGAAAACGATGTAGAAGTGAAGAGTGAAGTGAGTGAAGAGATAAGATAGTGAAATGTTGGTATGGTGGATGTGGATGGTTCTGAAGTTAAAATTGGGGTCAGAAATTTGTGAGAGGAAGGTGTGACGATATTGTATAAAAAGGGGTGTTTGAAGAACCACAAGATTATGTAGGAATAAGGTGTTGACGTTTGTATAGGAAAATAAGGCAGAGAAAATAGGACAGTATTGTGAAGTGTGGACTATGAAAAAAGTTGACGATGTAAAGGTTGAAAGTCACGGTTGAAAGATACATGGCGATTAACACAATTGGGGCTTTTTTGTTTTTCTTTGACTATTTCCAAGTCTTCATATAGATCTAATTTTAGAAAATTTTTTTGGGGAATATTATGTAACAAAGAGACGTCTTCTGGGATGTTGAGGGTATGTTTATGTTGTGCAAGATGTTGAGAGAAGGTGGAAGTGTTCTCTTTTTTAGTGTGTTCTAAGGAACGAGAAGTTAGTGATCTACAGGTTCTACCTATATATGTAGCATCACAATCAGAGCACTGTAATTTATAAACGCCACTACGATCCATGTAGTTGATGGGATCTTTTGTATTAGTTAAGCATTGTCCTAGATTGTTCGGGACTTTGAAAGAAAGTCAAAGTCCCGAACAATCTAGGACAATGCTTAACTAATACAAAAGA